TCATCTTCTTCTTCACATGTGATAATTTCCTACCCCGTCCTCCAGATATATGAGCTAAGGGCTTGTCTTAGTGATTCAAGAGCATTGACTCTTGAGAAAAGAGTGTACATCCTTTGAACGTCTTCAATGCAACTCCCATCCATTAGTATTGTGAACCCCCTATATATATATATTACAGAAACAATAATTAATTAAATTCAATACATAAGGGGAGAAATGATTAAGGACGCAATCGTAACTAGCTAAAAACCTTGTCCAGGATGGCGGATATACGGCAATCCAAAAGCTGCTTTTCTGCAATTCCAACTAATGAATTTTTTGTACTTACATCCAGATAGTGTAAACATCTTTCATGCTCTTCACACAACCTTGTTTGCAATATGTCACACAAAAATTACAAAGGTAGGCATAACTCATCTTAGGAGAATGGGTTAAAAAAGGGCAGGCAAATCCGAATAATCGCTATGTCATAAAAACAATTCGAAGAGAGAGAGAGAGAGAGAGAGAGAGAGAGAGAGAGTGAGAGATTACTCACGTCCACATGCTTCAAGTAATCTGGAACATCGAAATGTTGCATGTATTTCACACCTTCAGTAGCAGAAAATTCAGAAGTCCATTCAAGATAAGGCGTTTTGAAGCTTTCTGAGTAAATTTCTAAAGCTTTAAACATATTCAGAAGACGGCTAAGGAGAGTCTTATCCATATCTTCACATGATCTGGAAAACCAAAACCACAAAGTTGCAGATTAATTAGTTGCAAAAAAGTAAACCTAAAAATTCAATAGAAGGCTTGTAATTTGTTAACAGATCAACGTTCAAGTCTTACATCTTGACGCACCTCATTGGAAAATCCTATAGAAACATGGGTAAAGAGGACATGGTGGAACCTAAATGCACAAACGTGAGGAAACATGTTTATGTCTAACTTTATTGAAAAAAGGGGTTGGGGATGGGGTTGGGGGAGAGAGAGAGATCAAGGCTGTAAATTACTAGCATAAGAACTAGAGATCAGGATGTTGAAAGGGGTGTGGAAATGTCATATGTGACTATGATCGGGAGCCTCATATCCAACTATGGATGAGTTGCTGTTTTCATAGAAAGCCTCGGCCACCATTCAAAGACCAAAAGAATCACTATCTATTCTATAAGAACTTGTAAACAGATGTCGCAATATTTCCCACAACAAAGAATCTTTTTCATTGGCTAAATGTTGGAATACAGTTTACCTTTATTTATCGACCATCATTAAAAGGCTAGTGAAAAAGTAAAGTAAAATAAGTGCTTGGTCCTTGCAAAGTAACCAGGCCTCTTGTCTAACCAACGTCGAGGTTCGCGTCAAAAAGCTTTGATCTTGTACACATTTTTCCTCTTTGTAGCATAGATGACTCGGGTTAGTACATCCTAGGGGTGCTTTAACACCCATTGTCTTAAAGTCAACTGACTTGAGCACATTGATTTAACACCCGTTACATAGGTCTTGTAGAAAGCTTGATAAAGTTAGCATTAAAAAAAAAAAAAGAGGTGAAAGTGGTGACCTCTGTATGCATTTTGTAGGTGTTTATTCTATGTTCTTGGCTTGTTCTTGGTTGGACTTTTTCTTTGTTATTAAGCAAGTTTAGTCACATAACACGAGATTGAGCTTTAATATTTGCTCATTTGAAGGACTTTATTTCTTACAAATACTTTTGATTCTCCATTGTTTAAACCTTGTGTTTGATTAAACTTTTGTGATTTGATGTGCCTTAGATCCTGAAAGGCTTTGCTTCAAATGCTTCTAGACATATATTGGTATTGACTTTGCTTGTCTATCCATATGCATAGTGTTGGCACGTACTCATGAATTTTTTTTTTTGACATGTATGAAGGAGGAGGAGTCTTGGTACAATGTTGAGCATAGTCGTTGGTGTTTAAGTATGGTCTTTTTATTTTTGTATTTCAGTTTATACTCCTATTTTTCATCTTCTTTTGTTTTGGGTGCTATAATTGTCTTCATCCTTGGCATATATTTAGGGGGAGAATTATTGTTCAAGTGCACAAGATGATATGATCATGTTTATTATTTTTCTTTCGGTGGTAGCTTTTAGTTTTTGTTTAAGTCCTTTAAAAAAAAAAAAATCTTTTGTTTTCAAACATAGTGTCGTTTTATGCTTCTTGTTTAATTGGGCATCTAGGCTCTGCTTCATGTTGCATCTCAAGCTTCGCATGAATATCAGAATTACTAAGACAAACACATGATAAACTGAATCTGAGGATTGCAGTGTCATTATCAATCTTGTCAATTACAAACCCATAGCACATGTTCGCAAGAACATTTCCTTGGAACTATGTATGACAGAATGAAGAGCAGAAGACAAGCAAACAAAGAGGTAAGTATCATGTATTATGTTTATATAATTGAACGTAAAATTGTTTATGTTGTTCTTCTAGGTGATGAATGGATATTGGCTATGAAAGATGAGACTTTTGCACCTGTTGCACATTTGGAGTTGGTGAGGTTATTGCTCGTTGCCAAATGGACATCAAAAGTGCCTTCCTTAGTAGTGCTTTCAAGTCGCCCCACATGTTGAGCAACCTACAGTCACGACAAGATAAAGCCCATTAAGTGCTTCATTGGTTAATCTCTATGTCTTTATATGTTGGGATTGCAAACTGATTTTTTCCACTTATTTTTGCTATTATATATGCTCACTTATGTTCTTTCCTTGCCCTTTGAATTTCCTGACAAAAAAGGGGAGAGATGATTGTGTGAAATTATGATAAAAAGGAGGAGAGATTGTGTTGTAGAATTAAGGGGGAGTGATGTTGTAATTTTGCTTTGAATTACATTTCTTCTCCTACATGCTTCATTGGTTTTGTTGTTTCTTAATGTGCAGGGATTCAGAGATTTGAGTTTAGAGTAGGATTTCATTTGTTAAATCCCATGCAATTTCTTTTGAGTTGTAATAGGTGTTTTGTCTAGGAAGTGCCAAAGGGGGGGATTGTTAGTATGAAAATTGTATTGTCATTTCCTAGACTCTAGCATAGGTTGAGAATTAGTGTGTGAATATCATTTACTGGAAGTTTTGGTGCAAAACATTCAATTTCGAATTTTTGAAGTATGACATGATCAATATGAGGAACTTGATTTCAGGTAAATCATGACATAATCATGCATTCATTATAGGATTCCTAGTTGTAGTTATTTTCACTCAAGCAATTTTATGTTAGCCCTACTTTGAATAGGATTAGATTTTATCTCTTGAGATTACTTTCCTAGTTGGACTCTATTTTGATTTAAGTTAAAATATTATCTTTTCCTAGTTGGTCTAATTAATTTGTTTTAGGAGATAATTGTTCTTCATAAAAAGTGGCTATTTGGTGTCATCACTTAGAGTCCTTTTTGAATCAAAATTAATATTCATAATTGAATAGTAGTGTGTCTTTTGTTTTGGCATCTTGGTCAAGAGACCAGATTGGATCAGGTTTGAGAGTCATAGTTGAAGAGAATTAGTGGTCACTTGGGTTTCTCTCTTTTGAGAGAAAACCTGTCTTGAATAAAATGTGGGGGGTTTTTCTTTTCAAAGATACAGCTTTCGACAGATTGGTTTTTGAGCATATTGAATTTTTAAGAGAAAGCTGTTGTGCATATTGCTTGGGTTTCTCTCTTTTGAGAGAAAACCTGTCTTGAATAAAATGTGGGGGGTTTTTCTTTTCAAAGATACAGCTTTCGACATATTGGTTTTTGAGCATATTGAATTTTTAAGAGAAAGCTGTTGTGCATATTGTTCAGATAAGTCATAAAGTGTTCCTTGTTTACTTGTTGATTTATCAAATCCTTTCATCATTCATACTGCATTCATATGCATGTTGGTGACTCATACGGTTGAGGGCACCAAGACCATGGTGGCGGTTTTCCTCCGGCGAGCTTGAAGCAATCGTGACCAGTATTGCATTCAACATAAGGAGTGTCAAAGATCATCTCGTGACAGAAGTTGAGTTATGAAGAAGTCGGTAAACATTATCTAGAATTTGTCTAGGATAAGTGTGTGAGTACTTCTTGTAATCATCGTTCTATAGTGGATTTGTGTTAGATTGAGGAGTCCCGTGGATTTTCCCTAGAGGTGAGGTTTTACCACGTAAAATAATTCTCTGCTTGTTCTTTTATTTTCTGCCCAGCACGTTTCAGAATTGATAAGTCATATCAATCCTGCTACCGAAGTTCATTTTTTGTTTATTGATTTTTTTTTTTTTGATCAAATAGAAAGATTCATTCAACCGTAGCACCAACCAATGATAACGTTTACAAATGAACGGAGAGCGTTAGTGTGGCCTCATTAAAACCTTGCCATCCAAAACCCCCAATGGGGGAAAATCCGGTCAAGGAAAAAGAGTACCACCGCATCTCAAAAACAAACAATGAATTACACCATAGCTATATCCTTATCTAAAAGAATGCTTAACCATGGAGGAGCACGGTCTTTCCAAAAAAGGCGAGATCTCACTCTCAACCCATGCTGAGCTAGACTATGTGCCACCCCATTACCCTGCCGGTGTTGGTAGAACACTCCAGCCACCTCTCGATCAACCATTAACCGACGAACATCCTCCACCACATTACCAATATTACTCCACCAATCCAAACCATCTTTAAGCATAGAAACACAGCTTCTTGAGAATCAAGACCAATATAATCTTAAATTGGCCTAGTCATCCTCCTCTAGGCATTTTTAGTCATCCTACAGGTAATTACAGTTACCTCAATCAAGAGCTAGTCGAAGGAGATGAACTTGATTGGCCATGCGGTTGTACTGAGAACTACATCTTCAATAAGAAAAAATTCACGTGTTGATGGAGCAATTTGAATGCCAAATAAGAATTGCATTCTTATTTTCTTCTTCTATTTTTTTCTAAAATGAAAGATCCAAATATTGATGGAGCAATTTGAATGCCAAATTCAATCAAGTGACTAGTAGAATGAACTACAAAGGAATGGATTTGTCTATACCACTGCATTTGCAACTTCTATTCGTTTAAAAATCCACCAGATTTCCTTGTATGCTCGCGAATCCATACATCTCCTCTTGTTATGCTATCAGGCGATGTACTTGCTTTTCTCTACAAAGAAACCAATTACCAAGCAATAAGATACTGCAATCAGGTGATGTACTTGTTAAGAAAAAATTAATTTTACCATCTCATCTTCGAGGCAAGCATAGCCTTTACGACTCATTGTGTGTAGCATTGTTTGCTTTGTCCTCATCTTCTTGAATCTCTCACTTATCTCCTATAAATATAAGTTATAAATCATCATCATTTAATGGATAAGCAAGCTCTCTTTATAGACTTCTCTTGATTCAGCTGCCTAATGAAGACATCGGTTAGAGCAAAGTCGCTAAGAAAAGTAGCCACCAAAAGACGGAAAGCCTACGATAAGTAACAACACAAGAATCATCAACAATTAAAAAGGGAGAAGGGTGCAGTAAAAAGGGCAACGTGAAAATTGTAAATAATCAATTCACCTCCTCCTCGCCAACCTCAACAGTTTCCTCCTTTATGTCAGTGAAAGGTACCTTCAATTCATTTATAATCGAAAAGCGAAAGAAGGGAGATGCAGGCCTTATGATCAGCTTGTCAGTTACCATGAACGCCGTTGATGCTTTCAAATACCCTTGAGTACTTTTATCATGCTTCAATTTGAGTGGAAGTGTCACTGCATTCAAAGCGATGGGTGTTTTATCAGTAGCCAGTATATCCCGCCAACATCCATCCACTGGCCAATGTGCATAATAATATGAGGCCCTCGGGCCATCCTCAATTCCTAAAAGACGGTTCTCGTAGCAAAACCTAGGATAAATCTTAGGACTCAGTGGAATTTCCCTGTGGTAATCTGACTTCAGGTGATGCTCATCAGGATCTTTGACACATTTGTGCAACTGATAAATGCACCCTTTGAAAGAGGTATCCCTCATATGCTTTAATATGAAACCAAGTGGAACAGCTTAAAAACTGAAGAGCAAATTAACAAAATCCTCCCCTGCTTCGGCATAACAAACAATATTCAAAGTTGCATTGCCAACTATCACACACAAAGTACCTTGTCGGCTCATCATTGTCAATTTTCAGTTTGAGGTTTTTGCAATGAGATTCAGCCCCATTGTGGGGACATAGCAACATCTCTTTACATGCTTCAGTCTGGAAATGCCGAACATCGATATTCGCAACACTGGCGTACAAATTGCTCATGCAACCTATTTCCAACGGTACTGAATGTTTACCGGCACGCTTAACAATTCCCATTGGTATTGTCAAGAAACTGAAGAGAACATCAATAAAATCATTATTAGACTCTATGAAGATAATTGTGTTGCTCCCCTTGTCCACCAAGGCATTCAAGCTTATAACATTCTTCACAGTTTTACCAGCCATTGATACCGTAAGAAAGTACAAACTCAGTTGTTTCCCTACTTAAACAAATCAACTACGGTGAAAGAGAGAAAATTTTACAGCATTAATAGCTTGTAAAACAGGGCAGAGCTTGAGCAGATAACAAGTACATGAAAAAGGAGACCAATATTTTTATGAAGAGGAATATTTGGGGAAAAATTCATCAAATATAATCAATCTTTCTCAATAAATTTGCAGATTGGTTTCTTTTGTGAAGTGAAATTATTGTCATGCTTTTCCATTCTTTTCTTGATCTAATCCATCTTCTCTAATTAAAGTGAAATTAATTTTTGTACGTAGGGTGCATGGTTTCTTCACATTAACTAGTAGGAAAAGAAAAATAGGCAGCATTAACGTATTGATCTATAGGTTCTGCTGTGCAGGAAATGAAAAGTCCTCCCCCATGTTCAATTTTAAAGGTAGCTATGTTCTTTTTTCTTTATACGAAAGTGGTGGGTGAAAGGCCGTATGGATCATTCAAACCGGCCAAACCAAACCACATTTTTTTTGGACAAAAAACCAAACCACTTATGGCAGTTTTGTTTGGTTATTACACTAAAAAAATGTAATCTGAAATAGGTTCGAAAAATCGGCCTAGGCGGCGCCTAGGCTCTAGGCGGGAGGACACCGCCCCGATTTCACCCTAATGATCAGGGGTAGGCGCCAGGGAGTTAGGCCGCGCTTGGGCGCCCGCCTAGTATGGGCGGGCGTTTTGCCGTTGATGCGCAAACGAAGGGCGGTTGAAGCGCGCAGGAGTCGCTACTTGTTAGGAAGAAAGACGGAGAGGGATAGAGATCGAGATAGAGAGATGAAATCGAAACAGAGAGAGGGAGGAGAAGGCGATGCTGGGAAGAAGAAGATATCTGACCTAATTTTTACTATAACTTACAGTCTGGGTTTTGTAAAATGGCCTTAAACATTGTATTAAAATGGTCCTATTTTTACTTTTTTTTTTGCAGTTTTTTTTAAATATCAAGGTTACTGAAAATACAAAAATAAAAGTCAGATAATATCAAGGTTAGAAAATATTAAAGTTTTCTTTTATATATCTTATTATTTAGCATGATTTTGGTATAAATTTATAATTTATAATACAAAATAATTATTAAAAAAAAGGGTGCCTAAGCCCCGATTACTCTTCTTGGCTCTAGGGTCTGGGCTCTAGGCCCATGCTTGCAACCCACCTAACGCCTACGGATTTTTTGAACATATATTAAAAAAAGACAAGCATATATATGAAAATGGTCCTTTTCCAAATAAAGCCCACACCCTTAAGACACCTGAATGCAGAATTGAATGCCTAATTGTGACTCCTAGTTGAGTTATGAGAAAGATGGAACTTTAAGAAAGAAAAAAATAAAAATAAAAAAGGATGTCTAGAAACAGTAATGGCACAAAGAGTAAACCATAAAATCCCATATCAATATTTTTGCATATAATCAGTCAAAACAGCTCAACATCGTAAGTACATTTAGAAAAAAAGAAAAAGATACCTGGAATTCGAAGTTTAAACCTTTTCGGGTAAAACTGCCGAAGTAATAGATGAAGCTAATGAAAACACAAAGGCTTAAACAAAGGGCCTGCAGAACGTAATATAAGTAGGAAAGGATCATGAGTCTGGAGAGATATTATAGCGTGGAGAGATATTATGACCCTCCATGCTTTGCTTTTGAAAAGGGAAGCATTCATTACTAGACTAGGAAGAAATCTCCAGCAAATAGCCTACATAAGATGCATCAGGTCAATCATGAAGCAAAATTCCATTAAAATATCAGAATAAAGAAACATCCACCTCCACTAGCACTTGAACTGGTGAGTAATATCCGTAGCACAGAGATTTAGAAACACATAATAAACCATATATTGGAGTTCCAGTTTGTAGAAACAGGAAAAACATCATCATCTCTATACAGAGTTTATTGTTTTTGCACTGGCTGCCTAATGAAGACATCAGATAGAGCAAAGTCGCTAAGGAAAGAAGCCACCAAAAGACCAAAAGCTTGAAACAATTAAAGGTATAGCCGTGCGGCTATACCTGTTTTGACACGTGGGAACCCAGGCGCTAGACGGGTCTCTTTTTCTCTATAAATAATATAGCTGCGCAGCTTTACTATGGAGTTTTTTTTAAAAAAAACAAATAGCCACGCGGCTATACCTGTTTTGACACGTGGTCACCCAGGCGCTAGGCGGGTCATTTTTTTTCTTTCTATAAATCGTAACGCCGCGCGGCTATGCTCTTGGATTTTTTTGAAAATAGTATAGCTGTGTGGCTTTACGCTGGTATTTTTTTACTAAATAAATAGTATAGCCACTTGGCTAGGCGGTTCCCCTTTTTTTCTAAAATATTCTATTTGTTGTTTAATTAAATTATTAGAATAATATTGATTGATGTTCCTCAAACAAGTTTCACTCTAGAGAATGAGCTAGATCAAAAGCAAACATACTCACAAAAAATGAAGAAAAAATTGAACTCTCAAATTGATTTACTCTGAAATTTCTCTCTTCAACATCTGCACGGGATATGTTGAAACTAGCCAATTAATTTTAATAAAGTATAAACTAACGCAACTAGGAGGGTACTTTTGTTATTATTATTTTTTAAATAAAAGGTATATAATATATTTAAAATACATACGTACATGTACAATACGAGTATTAAAAGTGAAAATGCTAAATTCTTTATATGTGTAATAACTCTGAAAAGGTGAAAACTCAAAAGGGGACAATAAAGACTCGAGTAATGGTCTAATAGTAATGGATAATGCTCTATACTATCACTAAAAACAAAAATCGGGGAAAAACAAGAGGACCTAGCATGAGAGCCATGTTGTTTCTTCAATCATAATTACGCAATAGCAATTACTTTTGTCCTAGCAAAGAGAATTAACCATGTTTGGTCGCCGAGAAACACTTGCTCCTAGAAGAAGAAGAATGACAATAGGGCAGAGACTAAGAAGCATCCATGCCCTCATCATGTTATCCTTCCTTGGGATGACCTTTGTAGCAATGTTGTGTCTAATTTTCGGATTAGTTCATTCTATGATTTTTACCTAATGGATGGTGAGCAAAAGTATGTTTAGGTCCTCTACCTTTTCGTATTGTCACTCAGCAGAGAGTTTATTTGATCTTCGAGAATAAAGTCTCATGTTGAAAATTCAGGGTTTAGGGTTTAGATATCTCCTCTCTTTGATTTTGGAGGCTGGTATTTCTTCCTTGTGGTTGGTTCGGCTTCTGCATTGGCGGGTGTAATTTTACTTTCAATTTTTAGTTTTGTTAGTTTTAATTGTAGCTCTATAGGTCCTGATAACTTGTTGGACCTTTTATTATTTTCTCCAAATTTTGTTATCACTCTGTTGTTATGCCAATGTAAAAACTTTATTAGAATATGAAATTACTTGGTTTTCAAATACACAATTTTGTTCTTGGAGTTTTTGGCCTCAGAAACTAGAACTGCCGGCAGCTAGTTTTGAACAGAGTGAAATGCAGGTTTAAAAACAGTACCGCAATCGGTATTCTGATCATTCCAAACATTAAGGTTGAGTTTTTTAAAGTCAGAAAATACGTTTGGTTTGAAGGGAAAAGAAAACCTATTCAGCAACTCCAAATGCTTATACGAACAAAACAAATACAACAGAGAGACAGAGGAAAACAATCTTTCTGAAATCAGCTAGTTCTCTGAAGCTCAAAAAAATACCACAACTGTTTCTCAATTCAATAACTTCATGGTTTGAAAACTTTGAAAACCAAATCGCCAACGACGTTTACAGAAAGTACAGAAGAAAATTGAAGAGGATAAATTTATATTTGTAAAGTATCAAACTTAATGAATATGTAGTATAATTTTATTTTAAAGCTGGGTACCATATATATAAATCAAAGATATTCAAACAAAAATACGCCTGACACTGTCATGGAACAAAATTGACAAACTAAACTAATAATAATTCCAGTTACGAATGACAAAAATAGTCTACCAGACAAAACCCACACATCATAACATTCTCTCTTGCTACACCAATTTTCCTCCTCATCCCCAACTCAAGGAAACAAAAGACATTGGTAAACCAAAAAAAAGCAAAATAGACTATGAAAACGTCTTTAGAATTTTAAAGAGGTAAATTACCGGTATACTCCAAGCTACTTTGTGAAGTTGTCAAACTCTGTGTAGTCGCTGTCTGAGATCATCGTTTGGTACCATGCCTTGCCAGCTGCCTTGATGGTTGAAGCTTCCTCCTGGATAAAGAGAAATAGACAACAAAGAAATACATTATTACACAAGCCCCGATCACATAAAACAGTGCAAAAGATTAAGAACAGTACTAATGAATTCAACTGATTTCACTTGTTTATGAGAGTGGATGAGGGTGGTATCAATGGCCAGCTGATACGAGGCTTCCTCTATTCCCAAAGGATGGTTCTTATAGCCAAATCCAGGGAGAAGCTTGGGACTCACTAGCATTTTCTTATGGTTATTAGACTTCAAGCATTGCTCATCAAGATCCTGGACACTTTTGTACAACTGACCAATGCATCCTTTAATAGAGTTATCCTGCATCTGTTTCACAATAAACCCGAGTGGGAGAGTCAAGAAACTGAAGAGTAAATTAACAAACTCCTCCCCTGCTTCTGCATAACAAACCATCTTCCTAGATTTGCTAACTATGAGCTTAATAGAAATCTTTTCTTCTTACTCATTTGTGGCGTCTCCTAACATTCGAGATTCAACATCTATTTCTTGATCAACATTTTCATTGCTCAATTCTGGGAGGGGTTCATGCTTCAGCAGAGTTTCAGTCAAAGGCATCTTTGATACTAATGAGCACACAAGCAACTTCAAAACCTGAAGAAAGTGAAAAGATCATCAGAAACT